TACTGATGGGAAGCACAGTAACAGTATTAAGTATTGCAAACTGTTGTGATTACCGAGATTGCCAAAACCATATTCATAGAAAATAGGATTAAAGCTTGTCTCTATAATGAATTGATTTTTATATAGTACTTTCCTCTTACCAGTTGTATACTGTAACATTACAATTCCAATTCATTCGTGGTAACATTGCAAATATTATCATCTAGCTGTTCTTATTATTTGTAATTTTATTCTGATGCATTTTGTTCTTGGTATGAATACCCATGCATTTTAGATATAACTTATAATTCTCTAGCTAGTACTGTGGGAAGAGTAAAAACCCCACTGAGTATAGCTGACTAATTAGGAAGCCATTACTTAATCAGGATGCATGTTATAACCTTTCTGACATAAGGTTGCACAGCATTTTAGGATTTTGATTTTTCAATTTGCTGCATGTTGTCAGCTCTTAGGCAAGTCTGATGCTGTCAGCCCTCACAGGAGAGCTCACAGGGAACTACTGCAGGAGAGCAGAATGCTTCCCAGTCATCTGCAGTGGTGAGCAGAAATGCAACTTAGGAAGTGCTTCTCTCTCCAAACCTAATGTGAATTAGATACGTGAATTGTACCTACTTCGGGATTTTTTTTCTTGTAAAATTATAGTTGCACGCCAAAATACTGTAGTGTGCAAGAAGCCGGTGTGGTAGGCATATATACTGCATTCAAGTGGAGGGGGGAAAGAACCCTAAAATCTCAGACCATTCAGATCAACTGGACTCCGTTGTGACAACAGCAAAGGAAAAAACCTGTCAGAGACAGACACTTTCAAAAGACACGTGTAGCTTGTCATAAAATAGAGAAATGGCATATCTTTCTTATTTTCTATTTTAAATTAGCATAAAGCGCGTTTTAAATGAGGCTTGGTATTGCAAGGTGCCACTCATTAGTGACTCTCTAAGAGAGGACATACCTGTACCCTTAAAAGGGTATTTGTTATTTTTTTCTCAGTGCTGAATTAAACCTCTGAAGTGATGCAAAGGAAATAGTCTTGGACTTTCAGAACTCAAAACTAATGTGCTAATAAATTAGAACAAGAAGAAAAATATATGCCTGTTTGGTAAATCTTTATAATCAGTTGTTTATCTGTGAAAACTATCCTGTTTGCATTCAGTAAGGAAAATATTTTTGTTTGTATTAAATAGTTGAACAGCTGTCACTGACTAGTTTATTTGCTCTATAAAGAAAGGCAGGGTATTGTAATAGATCTGTTAGTTCTCTTGTATATTCATTAACTTCTTCACTAGACACTGTTACTATGCACAGCAGAGCCCCCTGCTGTTATAAAGGCCCTGTGAAATACCAACAGAGTCTTTCTATGTTTTGCTATGTCTGGACCTTCTCAGTTAAGACGAAATAAAAAAATCCAAAAGTAGTCTCAAGGTCCTGGTTGCATGGATTTGGTCTTGATTCAGGAATGAAATCTGGATGTCCTGTCTACATCTGTGCTTTTGGCAACAGTCACAGTTTATATAAAAAATAAACCTTTCTTGTCTTTGTGTATTTCTGGAGAAAGACTTCTGCTGGTAATGGATTGCTGTAGGCTGAAAACAATATGCAGAGAGAGAAGGGAAACAAAACCCACCCTCTGAGACATAACTTAAATACCAAGAAGAAAAGGAAAAGGGCAAATCAGCCAATTCAGTAAGTCTGTACCCATGCAGAAACCACAGCACACACTTGGGGGAGCCCAAGACGCTCACAAGTACAGAAGAGTGTTTTCTCATGCCCTGTGTGGGAACTGGGCTCAAGATAGAGACTCAAGGAAGAGGAAGGATCGAAAAAAATCAACAGGTTGTACTGTCGCAGGAAAGGATCAAATGATAAGATGTTTGATTCTTTATTCATCATACAGTATTGGCAGTAAGGATGGAGAGGGCTGGCATGACAAACTGGGAATCTGAAGGATGCTTTCTAGGGCATAAATGTAATTTACCTCTCAAAAATTCAGGCCCTGCTGAGGTAGCAGAGGGCTAGTGCTTTCCCTGTTGCTCTGGTCCTGGTAGTGGTAGCGGTGTGGTAGTAGCACACTGCTGTCTGACAACACTGACTGCGGTCTTCAGTGAGAGAAATTTGTGTATGAGACTGCAGTAAGGATGGCTTTATAGCTGAGGCATTGGGCATAGAATCAGGAAAACTAGATCAAACAAAACTGTATAGCTGTATATCTGACATTCATCTGTAAGAGACAAAGTTAATACATACCTATGCTCATTGTAACTTACAGCATCTAGATACCCGCAGCATCTAGAAAACCACTGAGAATATATTTGTGCGGAGAGATGATAATCAGAGTTCAGCGATGTTCCCCCACTATCAGTATTCAGGATTTGAAACACTCCCAATGATATTTTGACCATACTTACTTTATATTATGAGTGTATTTTTGTTTGCCTACAATTTATGTACCCATTCCAGCATTGCTTTCATTTTGTGATAGTGCGCGTGAAGCAAGCATTGCACTTGAAGTCTAACTACTATGTGTTCCAGTGCTGGAACTCTTAAGTCGTAGAATAGCTTAATAAGCATCCATCCTCTTTTGCTTTATGTGAGTAATTTAGAATCGAAATGTTGAGGTAATTTTTTTCCCTGGCAAGAATGTCAAGCTATCTGGAGCAATTACTTCTATCAGCAATTGTGTTATCACCCCAAATCAAAATCCTTTGTGTTGCAATAATGCAAAAGCTTCCGCTGCAGCCAGTTGGTGACATGTAGGGCTTCCAGTGGAAAACAGGCAGAAAAACCATTTACCAAACCCACCTCCCTGGTCATTTAAATCTCGCAATAGTTTTACATTAAATCAGCTCATTTAAGAAGAGTGCAAAACAACAACAAAGACAGCTGGTCTATTACCGGAATAGATTTTTCAGTATCCTTAATTGACTCGCATATATTATAGAATACACAAAGTTATAAATATGTATATGAAAGACTTGTGAAATCAAGTACAGTGAAAACTACAAGAAGTACAGTATTTTGTACAAATTGTATCATAATCTTCTTTATTTAGGGGCTGCCTTCATGGAGTCTCTGTCCATTACAAGGTATGCCCCTCTCCGCTAGGATGTTTTGAGATGGCTTCTCCCTCTTTAGGGTGACTGCTAAAGGAAGGGTGGGAAGACGTTCTCCTGGGCCAGGTGGGAAAAGTGGAGCCTAAACAGATTAGAAGTTATTAAACCCCTTGCATTTCCTCAGTTTGCATGTGAAAAATAGCATAGTCCAGAGCTCTGTTACTCTGTTTTATCCAGAGGCGCTCATTGGAGATCTGCCCCTGATAATCATAGAGATAAGCTGTCAACAAGAGATGATAGTAAATGACGTGGAGTGATCGTACCTGGAGCCAGAACTGCAGCCTCCCACTTCAAACGGTAAACGTGAGAAGTCTACTCTGAGGAGATCATGGTTAGTACAAAGTGAAAGAGATTTGTTTCTAAAATTTAGAAAGGGAAAATTTTATCCTAAGGTTGTCACCTGTGGACTTTATCGTGCAAGATTAACCATCAAAATTACTAAGAGGAAACACATCTCAAATGATTAAGGTGAGGATGTACCTCTTTACTGTTGTTATTTTATCACGTGCCTTCCATGTGTTATCTCCTAAATGTTCAGATTTTCCTCAGAATAGACATATCTGATTTGTTATTCCAGGTGGCCTTCCAGAGGATGTTTCAGTTTTGACGGTCTACATTTAAGGTATGCGCAGCAATCACGTCACTTAGAAATCTATAATAAAACCATATTGCTTAGCTAGGGCATGTGTGACCTTTTATGAATCTGGAACTCCGTTTTCAAGTTTCACAGAACCTGTAAAAATTAGCCTCAACAATTAAGCTGAATAAATCAAGCACTAGTGAAACTCCAGACAAGCTTGCTCGGCAACTGGGGTCCTGTGAGCGATCTGATCTGTAAGGGAAGGTCAACCAGGCACAGGAAGTTAAGACCACTGGGCCCTCAGCTGTAGGGAGGATTTTACTCTGAGAGAAGCTATGACAAGTGCTAACCTTTTTCTGCCTGAAGGAAGAAGTGTCTTCTTGATTTGCCTGGCAGGGAAAAACTATTTGGGCTGTCCTGGTAGATGAATAAATACTCTCTGTAGATTCCTGTCCACTAAGAATTGACCAAATGCATCAAAGTAACTCAGGAATGAGCTAGTAGACGGTATGAACATCTAAATAGCTGTAAAAGTCACTTAAAAAAAAGTTTCCTCCAAACTGCTTTTAGGTTAATTTCCCTGAAAGAGAAGTATAGACAGAAGTCTTACTAAAACTGCCTCTCCTCCGACGGTTTTTCTCAATACTCAGGTACAGCAAACTGAGTTCAAGACTAAATTACAAACATAAAATAAAAATTCTGTTATATTTGGCCCAGAGCCAGCCTTACAGATGCCCTCATAGCTACCCATGTGAAAGCATTACAGTTCCAGTACAGTTCTTTAATATTTGTTGGCAGCTGTACTTCAGGCTATTTTAAACTGTAATCTTCAGAAAGAATTTTCTGTTGAGACTTTGCTGCATTTTTCTCCTGTAGACATTGATGGTACAAAAAAAAAAAAAAAATCCAAACTCCTGTTAATAGCAGTATCATCATTATTGCTTTCCTCTTTTTTTAAGTCCAGAGGTAGATGATTCAGATATAAACATTTTGTAGGAATGCAAAACTTCTACATGCTGATGCTAAGTTTCAGTCTCAGAGCTGTAGCTTGAAGGAATTTTGGAGTTGAAATGAGTATTTCCAGCTGCTTTATTTCTTTAAAAATGTATTTTGCAAGAAACATGAAAGTGCTGTTAGTTTACATTATGCTATTCATATTTTTTAGGTGGGAGTAACAGAAAAATTAACATGCTAACGTAAAAACATCAAATCTGCGAGCGTAACAACAACTTCCAGAGGCATGACTGAACACCCTAACTTTTGAACCACCAGGCTGCCAGAGATAACGGGACCGCAGAGGATGACCCTCCCCCTCAACTTCGGTCTTTTTTCCAATCGAGGTGAAGAGCAGAACAGTTATTCCACACTTCGCGGCTGCTGTACGCCTCAGCGGAACGTCATCCTGCCGGCGCTGCTCACGGGGCACGGGCGGCTGGGAAGGCGGTAACGGCGCTGCCCCGTCACTTACGGCCTCGAATGAAAGATGAGGCCGTGAGACAAACATGGAAACCAGGAGGCAGCAGCCTTTGGCGGAGCGTCGCCCGGCTGTGCACCGC